GCTACCATCGTATAATTGGAGCAACCCCTCCGTCAAATTGACGGGTTCCGTAAATCTAGTGTTAAACGCACGCTCGTAACAGGCTCATAACAAGACGCTGCTCGATCGGGGCGGGAAAGAATTTAAAATCGGTACATCGTGATTCGCGATTCGAGGCGTGGTCGTATCGTAATCGTGTTTCCCGAAGTTCGCCCCTGCAGGGTACGGGCTATGATCGATCGGGGGGACACGCGAAATTCTTGCGATAATTGCGAGGCAGAAGTGCAGCGCGGGTGCACTTGGAATCCCGGAGAAAGGATAATAGCCGTGGAACGTGTCCGGCCACGGCGAGTATCGTATTCCACGGATACTGCACGGGCACGTACTGCTCGAGGTATCGGTTTTAATACGCCGGCGCGAACATAATTTAACCATCGGACTGTCGACGGATAAAATATCGTCGGCTGGCTTACACGATCGCTTGTAATCCGGCCTTTAAAAGGAACAGTACCGGCGAATTAAACTCGCGGATACCTATGCGATCCGGTTCAAACGAGGATCCTGTTGGCTAAACGATTCGTTCTCGCTGACATTGCCTCTATTAGCGGAGGAACACGTGGAAAGCCCGAACAATCGCGGGCACCGGTGAAAAGAATCGATCTACCTCGGATCTGCTCGATGACAGAGGAAAACAACTCGGATTCCCCATACAGGTAGCCCTCCTACAACGCGGCATCCTATAACACGATTTATAAATTGCGAGAACCCTCCTACAACACGGCATCCTATAACATGGTTTCGCTCTAACACGAGAAGAAAATTGCAAAAACCTTTGTACGACACTGTACGTCTACATAAGCAGTGACGACATTTAAGAGAAATGTATTAAACTAAAGTTGCGTTAAACTAACAATATTGTAGGATACCAAAAGAAATCACGAATCGGCTATTGCCAACAAAAACAAATTGTAAACCGATCGAAATCTTCTAGAAGCAAATCGAAAAGTTATTCTATATAACAAAATTAAGTTGCGAGACTCCTCTACGGGGAGGTGGAACGTAGGTTAAGGAAAGGATAAAAGCGTGGTCCTTGACAACCAAAACAGAGTCCTTGGAAATCGGTTGTGACCATCACAAGCGTGAGTCGCTTGGTGTTGGAAAGAGAGTTTTAAAAAAGCGCGTCTTTGTGTGTTTTCGTTACGTTATCTTGGTGTTCTATCCCTAAGTTAAATCAGTTTACGAGTTTTGAGTTTGTGTTATTGTGTTCTTGCTCTTTCGTGAATTTCCAGTGTCTCGAGACCAGTTCTGCCATCCTACAATATTTCTCTTTCTTATTTGTTTCCTGTTGCACGTACATTTATATTTTTAATAAAAATTAAGTTGCTTATGTAGAATTAGAAAGGAAATTTGTTTTTAATAAGTTTCCGGGACGTAACCCCCCTTTTACTGTTTCTAGATCCCATACAACACGGTTTCACAAAACACGGAATTTTCTAGGAACCTATCTACCGTGTTATAGGAGGGTTACCTGTAATTGCAACGAACCGGTTTTTCTTTTCCTGTCACCCAAAAGTGATACCAATCTCTGCAAACTGTGTGTTTCGTCTCTTTCCCCTGTAACCTGGCTACGTCGTAACAAGATAATTTAGAAAACGAATCTCCCGTTTTAAAAATCGACACGGTCGTTACTAGGTCGAATCAAAGTCGTGCCATAGTTGTCAGTCGACCAACGTTAAAAATTCTAATTCTAATTTTCAAACGGAGTGGTTGGGATCGAGCGTTGGAGTAAGTGACTAGAGGCTGCAACGTTGAACAAAGGAACTATCACGACCTGCTATACCAAACGATAATGGAAAAGCTAGGGAGCCGTGAGGTAATTCATAGCGATTTTTTCGAGAACGTTCCCGACTCGAGGTTTCCTCGTGCCGCACCTCTGCACCACCCAAACGTAATCTCGGTAATATTTCTAAGCGAGTCCTTGACGGCGAGGTTGAGATTGGGGGCGGATAAATTACGGGGCGTAAACTGCATCCTGACAGTAAATTACTCGATAGCGGTAGACGATACCGTGGACCGTGGCGCCTACGCGTGAAACCGCATCTACTCCCATGATCCTAGCACTCTTGATCCGCAGGATTCCAGCGGGGATACTTTGTCCGACCACGGTGATTCCTATCTCTTCTCGGACATATTTTTCTCATCCCGATCCCGCGAAAACTCGCTTCTAATCGGCCTCGAGTAACGTTGTTTCCTCGATTTCTACGAACCCGGGGAGAGAACCATTCCGATTCGTCCGCGATGTACGTACGTATGTACGTGTATCGTACACAGGTGTATCGGAGGAAGAGCGAGAGGAAGAGTCGGAGGGAGATGGAATAAATTTGAATACTCGCAGCGGCGGGCACGTGGCCGCGCTCAGCTGTTTTCACGGATAACATCTTCGTCATCCCGCGTAGCGGTGTATTTCTAGCGAGAAAAAAATATCGAAATCACCGTCGAAGGTCGGATTCCAGCGAGTCCCTGCATTCTATTAACGCGTTATCGTGGCTGTATCTTGGCGTACGCCATGGCGGATGGCGCCATTAAGCGAGGCGTAATCGTACAGGGTCGCGTTGTTGCGGTAAGACGATACAACCGGGTGTAAGCACCTTAAACATCAGGCCTCAGACCTTGTCCGATAACTCGCAGGAAGTACGAGACAAAGTCTGGCGAATGGAACGTGCCTGTGATTCCTACGAAAGCATCGATTTCCCAACCGGTATAATTTAATATCGTTGCAGCTATCAAAGTTCACAGGCTAGAGCCAACGGCGGATGTACGTTGCAGCGTGCGCGTTCCTTGTTAACCGATGGGAATAGATTTCTGATTCTATCCACGGTCCTACACCTCTCTCGAGAGAGCACCGCCGGCGAACTGTTTCGCAAAAGGATCGTTTCCACGGCGAGCCCATCAACCGTGTTACCGAAATCCGCTACAATGTTATTAACATTTCCCTTTGTCTGCATCCACGTCAATCCTCCGCTCCAATCGCTCGATTTTATTCCATAAATCGAATCTCTCTAGATACCATCGACACGGTTTACCATGAACAGGCACGATCGTTCCTCCACTTTTGCAACTACGTTAGCGATCGGACTCGCGTTTATCCGAGGATCGATAAAACTCTACCTTCCGTCCCACCTTTTAATCCCCACGCGAAAACACGAGCAGGCAATTTCGATGCGGAATAATCGACAATCGTTGCCGATTCGATGATCCTAACCTCGACAACGCTGAACGATATCGTTACCGCGATTATGATCGGCTTCTGTTCGTCGGTCATTCCAACGATCCACGGTGGAGAAACTCTCGTCGTAGAGTAACATGCTAGGTGGGTTTCGCATGCGAAACGACCGTTTTGCGAAATCCTGCAACGGTGGCCTCCTCCGCCAGAAGGCGTCTAGGAAAATCGACGAAAATTAACAGGCGCGAAATTGGATTGCCAATCTGTCGGTACCGGGTTGCCACGAAATATTTGTTGGAACCCGGATTTCGATATACAACACGGGTTCTAGCAACGAGGCTACGTTGGAAAAATACAAGTCGACGGAGAGGAAAAAAACAAAACAGAAATTGAAACTCCAACTGACTGAACTGAACTGAACTGGAACTGTACTGAAACTGTGCTGAAAAACTGTCCTGCCACTCCTCACACTGTCCTCAAAAAATTGAGTTTTCGCAAATGTTGCGAGCGCTTATATAATATTAGTTGTTTGGGGGATGAAGATGACCATTGGCCCCTAGTGAAAGTGAGAATGAGTCAACTGTTTTTGGACTCTGAAATAGGTCTGTCAGCCAGGTCCTTCCAGTGACTAAGGGCCAACGAGTCGTTAGTCATCCAACATATTTTCCACGAGAGAATTCGAAATCCCTGAAGTTGGCCTATATAACCGTCAACGAAAACGCTTCACGCGAAATCCAAAGAAACGTCCCTGTTCCAAAAAGGGGGGGAAAATATGTCGAGTTGGCAAACCGGAGTGGTATTTCCTTAAGAAGATGTAAAAAATATTTAAAAAGATATGGAGTATTCCCGGCGTTCGTCGATAAGAACCGCTAACGAGTAGCGGATTTTTCCCAAAGCGGTCCAAGCGAATTAAACCGATGTGGCTATTCGAGGAAGCGTTTTAGAACGTGTCACCGTATTTGGGGCCCGATCGAGAAGGGAACCGCCGCGAACGCCGAGGAAAAAAGAGGTTCACGCGCACCCTTGGGGCACACCCTCGGGGACCAAAAGCACTTTGCTCGGTTTCCGCGTGTACTAGTTATCCAACGACCCGAACATTACGTAAACTGACATTTTCGCGGCTAATGCGAACCAGCCTACGAGTCGGTTAACCTACGAGTCACCGACGCTGTCAGAGTTCAGTAGCAGATTTAATTTCATTTTTATTCCCATTTTTGCTTCCCCGGCTCTGCTTACGTAACCGTTATCGAACAATAGACGTTGCTGTGTCGCAAGGTGGATCGCGAACGCGCGAACCAGTGTCTCGAGCAAGTGGAATTTTGAGATTCCTGTTCCTCTGGTGTTTTCCCGTGAATTTTTCGACGATACTTTCATCCGAAATTTTGTCCAAAGTTCACCGCGCGACTGGCGAAATACCACTTGTACGTTATGTAACGTAAACTATCCGAGATATGTGTTTTATACAAGTTTACGTCGTGACGCCGTTCACCGCTGTGTCTACGATTGCTTTTCCTCTTCGACCTTCGATAGTGATTTAAAGACGTCAGCGCGAAATGCGTCTTGCGAGGATTCTTGCGCGAAAAAAAGCGCGAGTTTTGTTTACAGTCGCGAAATCGAACCGAGCTATGCGATTCTGGACGATCAACGGAGTAAACAAGGCTAATATAGCGGACTGATAAGGCTAATAGTCATTAAATATTCGCTACGAGTCGACAATGAGATTTCAAAGACCTAATTACATAGTGTGCAAAAATAAAGAAAATAGAGATAGGATTATAGTTGAAAAATGTACACTCACCCACTCTCGACACGACCGCCAGCAGGAGCAACACGCTGCTCACGATGATCATCTTCGTTTCCCTGTGCTTGATCCTAACCGCAGGACGAGTTCACGCAGGAAACAAACTTCCAGGTGGCAAATGGCAATGTTGGTGCTTGCTAATCGGGCGTCGGATTCGCGCACATACGCGGCAAGATCGACGGTGAGCGTGTGCGGGATGGAAAAATCGGTTAAACCGGTGAAACGGTGCGATATCGCGCGAGCTGGCCGAGTCCGGGCGATGTCGTTGCCGCGGCGGTTTCCCTTGGCTTTTGGTTAATTACGGTTTTACCGAGCTTGGTCCCGGCCGTGCGAACACTGACGGACTTTCGGCTGCGTTCTTCTCGCCGAGGAGGAATTCGGTAAAAATGCAACGGGGGAAGAAGGGTAGGAAGGAGGCAACGAGAAGCCGGAGCAGCAGCTTCGATGTAGCGCCGTTCAAAGCCGCGAGAGCTCCATCGACGTCGCAAAACATATGCTACGGTCACGAAGAGAGAAAGGTGACTGGGTATACGCAAGGCGTGCTCAATACCTCCTGTCTTCTTGGCATAGTCACCTTTCTAGCAAAGCAGCAACAAAGAAGGGAGTGTTGGTACTATATCGCGTGGCCACCACCATTCTCGCGCTCGCGATCACCCAACGACCGATGGTGGTGGGCCACACTCGCACTGGTGGTGGTGGTGCTCGCTATGGTGGTGGCTACGGTGGTGGTGGTACCGGTACACCGATCAGCCGCCTTCCACCACCAAATCCGCCTTCCTTCGATCACATTTTTCCGTTCTTCGCATCGGTAACCCTGAAACCATTCTCGGCTTACGTGACCGGCCGACGAGAGAAAAGTTTGACGTCGATCTCTGCGCTCTTTCTCCTGCAAGCCAAATGCCGAGGGTTAGTTTCGATCGTCTAGCAAGTCGTGACCATAAAGTCGCCTCAGACATTCCTACCTTTTTTCCCCTGTCTACCACGGATTTCGACATATGGTTCGTGGTGTTTCGTTACAAATCTTACAAGCTCAAGTACAAAGGGGGTTGTTAAGGGGGAGAATCGAGAAATAACGCGCGTTCTATCATCGACACGCGAACAATCATACGATACGTATTACCGAATCGAGTTACGAGTATATTTTTCCTACGAGTCAGTGGTCGTAGTAGGTTTGTATAAAAACTTTATTTTCTCGGCCATATAAAATCACCAATATCTGTTCGAATACACGTTATTTTGACGCAACGAGATTACATTGATGATCGGCTTCGAATTAATGAAAACTATGTTAACTTTAAAATACCCTTTTGTTAGAATTAAAAGTTAATGTTTGGTACCGTAACAAACGCAACGCTATCGCGGATAATTTTACTCGGAGCAAGTGCGACCGTTTTGCACGGTCTCGTATGTAATCAGTAGGATGAGGAGCATGCAGGGAAAAAGAATCGGATTTATCCTTATCGATGAACGATAACGATAAGGTAGATTCTTTGTCCCTGCTGACCTCTCGAGCATCGAAATCAGCAATACGATAAAAAATATAACACTTCCTGTAACGTATATTATTACGTGTAACGCGACAAAGAAATGCCATTGGTGGAATTACACAGTCCTTTTTAATCCTGTATCCGATAATTACGAATATATCACATGATAATTATGAACGTATCACATATATAAGTATATTATTTTCATTCCTTATATTGTGAAAACACAAATAGGGCATCGAGTTGAACTACGTGGATCATGTACTTCTCTTTCGGGCGTACCAATATAAATCAACGTAAACGACTAGACGTACTTGCGATATTGTCACAAGTCATTTCTTACTTCCTTTTAAAGGTCTCCTGAGAGCGATCAAACTGTACACGTATTCGCGATCGAACAAAAATACGCAACATCTATATGTATACATATACAACAATACGTAAAACCTTGAAATACTTTCTACGTACTTGATTACAACTTACGAATAATCTGTGTCTCGAATACATAGAGAAACTACCAACGTACAGTGTTGTATACGCATTGGGAAACGAATGAAACGTTTTACGTAAATTTACATTTATTGCAACGATGAACCCTGAACAGAGGTAAACACTGACTTCTTTCAAGCTTGTCGGGATACTAGCTAGTCGGAATAATTACTCTTATCGGATTATAAAAATTTAAATGTAAAAATAATGAAATTATCCATCAATAGCTCTCAGACAGTCCACGAAGTCGTTAGCTGCATTTCAGTTCTCGCGTTAAACAGATCCGTCCCTGAGGCAACTATTCAAGACGCAATCCGGACACAGCTACGTTTTTTTGTCTGGCTTATATAAAATATTATCTGCACGATAATTATTGTTTCAACGATTAGAGAAAAGTAAGCGTTTGGTAAATTTGGTTTCGAGCATTTTCAATTGACTATAATTAAGAATACTTTGTGTAGCTTCCAAAGGCCGGTTTTTAAAAGTCGAAGAATTTGTCAAATAATGTTCATTTTTTTGTTTTCTTTTTTTTTTTTTTATTTTTTCGTTTTATTAGTAACTATGAAACGATTTGTATGTACATCAATTGAACACGGCAATATACGCAACAACGGTTGCATGCCGTGGCTCGATTTAGATTCGAACAATATTACAAGATACCCCATACTTTGTACAAAATTCATTTTGCGAATACATAAAAGCGCAGAGTATCGCCATTCCTCGAGAATGAAAGACCTTCTTGATTTGCTGCCCAATAATCACTGACACGCAGTGGTTCCATACTTACAACGATGTAAGTGTTCCCTATACATTTGAAATAGCCTCTAGCGCACGCACGCGGCCATAATTAGCAATATGCGCCACTATTTAATAGAAATATTCGAGGCTATATATAGGATGCCCGTTTCGAGGGTATATAACTGCATAACTGATAAAATATCCTGTATAATTCTAATTACTAACTAATTCAATTTGCCTATACTTTTTGCGCAAGTTGCTTACAGAGTCTTTGAACAAAACAGGGTCAAGCCTCATATTGGATCGTAACAACGGCATATACCCGAAAACGGCTACAAACGTATTCATGCACGTTTGCCGTTGTATGAAGTGATCCGGATCGTTCCAAGGTGATCTGAAAATTTCACGTGTCAAATAAAACAATAAATCGCAAACACTAGTCGCAATTACACCTTGCTACGCAGTTTACAATTATCATGCGCGAACATCGTGCGCGAATATCATGCGCGATTGAAACGACGTAGTTGAAACAGTTTTCCTCTCTTTGCTTGCATGAAATTGAAATACAGGTACACTCACCACGAACGATACAATGAAAATCTTGTTTCAAATAGCAACAGAATTTGCGAAAACACGACACTTTGGAAATAAACTATCACTGATAAAATTCAACTACGAATTAAACCAACGGGCACGTCACTTCCACTTAATGGCGGATACTTTGAACGATTGACCAATCAGAGTTCGATTACTGTAAAATTAATCGATATCGCGATTATCGTATCGATTACGCGATCTGTGATTTCATTGGTCAATTTTAAATGATTGAGGTGATATCTGCGTGCAACGAAAGGGACAATGGCGAGAGATGGTATTGTGATAGCATTGTGAATAGTGATAGAACGTTATTTCGAAAATTATTTGGAAAATTATATTTATCTGCGTAGCAACTTGATTAAGGTACGTAATACATACCTGATTCCAGCCACCGTGGTATCTTTATACAATTTCCGTTGAGTTACTTTAATAGGTGGTCTTCGCGTAACATGACTTACTAAAAAATTCATAAGTATGTCCTCGCAATTTTGCGATTGCTCGACAGTCTTGTGAAGCGTCGAACTCAGTAATTCGGTATACAACGTATTATAATAACGATGATAAAAGGCGGCACCAGTTAGAATTATACTATAGTCATTTGTCCATTTACTTGTATAGCCCCACGAACGCTTTAAACGATACAACACGCGTACAAAAAAAAAAACTGTAAATATTTGAGAAAGGGAAAGGCAGTGTTATGCTTACTTTAGAGTCATCCCAGTAGTGTGATCTTGCTGGATAACCAACTATTCGGTCAGGAAATGATCGCCATACGGTAAAGGCGAAATCAATTTCATCTGTATTGAGTGTGGCATCTTCGTCTAGAGATAATATGGCACTAGTTTTGATTAATGGGTGAGGATAGAAACGTTGGGATATACCATCGACCGTAACAACATGTATTGATGCTTTGATCCCTTGCCATCGTGGTCTCCTTGGTAACGGAATGTCCGAGTTCCACATTAGAATAATCTAAAGTAGAACGTGTTTAAGTGGCAAATAAAACAGAAAGAAAAAACAAAAGAGAGAAAAAAGAAAAAGAAGACGGAGATATGAATCGAACAATAAACTTACCTTATCTAGATATTTACTTTTCGCGAGACTTTTTAGCAAACGATATAGAACAGCAGTGGATCCCAACTGCGAGTAGATGATGGCAGTGAAGGTATTACCTGGATTACTTTTTGAAAATGGAAGTTCTTGCTCACTATCAGCAAATTGCGGTAATATCGCTAATGCTCCAGGACTAGTATTCCAAACAAATCTTTCTCTCGTACCTTCCCACGGTAAACGCTCGCGAATATTCTACGAGATTAATAAAATATTAAAAATTAGAAACACAAAAGAAGGAATTGTTTTCGCGTCCGAGTATATCGGCGTTATTTTATGATGTTACCTCAAATACTGTAAATACAATTTTTTCTATCGACGAAAAGTATCGTTCCCAGAGGAATTGCGTTTGCTGTCGTAATTTAAGGATTTGTACGTTGGACACAGACCGTACTATATCTGGAATCTGAGAAAATAATATTTATAGCCCACCTTCGTCATTCTTTTGATAGTAGACTTTATTTTGACCTTACTCACTTGAAGTAACAGTCTTTCATCAGAAAATATAACAGCTTGTGCCCAATCAATTCGTTCATGAAAAGGAAGCGCCCAGCCATTACTTAAAATAACTGGAATACACCCAGCTCTTAAAGCTTCTAAAAATCGAAAACTACCAAGTCTTCTTCCCCTTGGTACAAGACAAAAGGTAGCATTCATTAATAAAATTTCGTAATCGTATCTAAAATAACAAATTAAATGTTAAGACTTCAATTACCAAGCAGAATAATTGTTTATTATAATAACTCTATCTAATACTGACGTATCATACTCTTGATTATCTTGTTGACAGTGTTCATCTTGTAACTCTCTCCATGCTTTACCATGACGACAAGTCGTAACAAACACCAAATCTTTTCCATTGTGCAAATGGTAGAGAGCATTTCTAGTTTCAGAACCAATGCCGTGGACGTATCTTTTACCTTTGAAAGCTGCAACATACTTCTTATTATTAGGAAAATTATTTTCTAAAGCTTGACCTGGTTCCCCACCACGTTCTGGATGTTGTTTTCCAAATAATGGTATAGATATATCAAAGTCTGGTCTATGTCTAAAAATAGACATGCTGGCCTTCGCAAGCATAGCATATCCTAAATCAAAGGCTAGAGATTCTTCAGCGTAATCAGGCCATGTTCCAGAATACAAATTAAATATTAAATGATTTCTGCCATTATTCCAATATGGCAAACGCAGTAATTTTGAAGGAAGATTATGCACAAATTCTGTTGATAATGGATCTCTGTCTAATGTGTCAAGGGCTAATACAAATATACATGCTCGAGTTGGATCTGATGTATAATATCTTGATTCTGTAATAACATTCAATATTTTTTGGTATAGTGGACTTATCACATCTTCAACTGGATACACATATACTGTGAAACCTTGCTTGCATCTGGTAAAGTCAAAACAAGTCTCCATACGGCATTGTTTTACACGTTGGGATATAAGTGGATTCCCATTTGATGTTCTCAAATCCTTGTCATAAAACTCTTCATTTAGACTTAAATATGAAGGCAATCGCTCATAAGGCAACTGAGATCTGCCTGTCCACCTTTCACTTTTTAACCGATAACCACCAAAATAACAGTAACCAAGAAACGCACATGTTACAAATAATAATAAATAGCGCTTCTTGGCTTGCATTTTCAATGCAATTAGGTTATACTCCAATATACACTGATTTTAAACATTATTTTTCATATATAGAATGTATGCATTTAATCATAAATGCATTGTAATCAATCTATTATTATCTCAATTTTATAAATGCATAAAGTCAAAAATTACTCCAAAATGAAATTGATTTCATTCTTAAAGATTGCTGGAACAGACCAAAAAAAAAAAAGGAGCAGCTATTGAAGAACATAAAAACACTTTCACATATACATATAACACTAGGAGAGTAATGTAATGAATTCGCATATATTATTATTATCATACAATAATTGAATGCATCATACAGTATTCTTACATTTTTTTTACACACAACAAATATCGATAGGATTTTGAATAAACGAAACGCATATTTAGTTACCTCCGAATTTGTAAGATCCGATATTGGTTAACAGGAACGTTTCAAGAGGTTTGATTATTATAAAATACATGGCCAAGGACGTAATATTTCCAATGAAACGTCAACTCTATATTTATATTTATGCATTACATTACGTTTTACAAAATGTCGAATCTAAATGACAGATTGTAAACGTCTATGGACGCTGCCGTAAGTTAACCTATACGTAAGTTATTACGGACGTTGCACACGAGAGCGACAACGTCAAACATATCGAAGTCGAAATTCGATGAGGCAGGGACGAATCGCAATTCATACTGTTTTATAACGATCTATTTGCTTGTTAGAACCGCACGGTGAACTTTTTTCTTAGGTTAGTTCTGACGTACATCCAATTCGCAGAATTTGCCGGCGTTATTACGCCCATTCGCATTTTCGGTCGGCGTCACTACACACGCGTGACATCGATCGGAAAACGCCTCCAAGTGCAAAATCATTGCACGCGGCGCATTAAATAATTGGTTTAAAAAGCAACGCGAGTTATGCAATGACGTTGGAACGATTAGACTGGCAAATCGCTTATTGGTTACTTCATGCCGAGCTCTCCAGGATGTTTGATTGTGTGCGAAACACTACGAACTACACTTATACAAATCTAAACAAAACTGTCGATCAAGGTTATCCCGCTACCTAGTGGTCAGCCAATAAACTTCGCAAGCCGTTTTAACCGCTTCGATTAAATTTATTAAAAGCACACGTTTTTTTTTATTGCAAATCAATACTCCTTAAGGGAGACACGAAGCTTGGAGTAAAGCTTGTATGGTACCAATTAGAGTGAGGGTTATTGTATTATGCGGGAAATTTGCTAAAGTGAAGAAGAAAAGATAATAGGCGACGAAAAAGAAAAAGATAGATGTATTTTTTATATTAACAAACTTACCTAATATCAAATTTTAAATATCGGAGAAGAAATGTTTATCTTTCTTTCTTTTTATTAATTACTAGATCACTTTTTTATTCAGTAGAAATATAATAATTTAATTTCGATAATTTCGATGTTTCTTTAAATATAAACTGAATAGTTTCGCTTTTACACAAAAGTTATTCCACGCGAATGTTCTTCATTCTGTATTACTTGCTACAATTATTTGTGATAAACTGTTACTAGCGATGCGGATTATCCTATAAATATGCGACACAGATTTTACCTTGATCGTTGATTCATTCGATAGTTTTTCCGACTACGTATATCATTAATACATATTTGCTGACTACATGCTATAATGTGGAATTTGCACTTATCTACAATAGATATTAGATAATATCTTTATATAGACCTATGGTTATATAGTATGGTTATTTATACTAATATATTATTTCTCATACTTATTTAATATTAATATCTTTTTTAATCTATCTTCTATTAATTTTGACAATTTTTTTCGATTATGCAATTTTATTAATAATATTTATCAATAATTGATAATGAACAATTAATTCGATTACAAGAAACGATAATTTGTAATTAAAACTTTTAAAATACAAATTAAAGATATATTGGTAAAAAATTATATTTTTATTTTTTTCCTCTTGAGTAAATAATAGATTAAATATATTTAAAAGGTACAAAGTAATTTTAATAGAATAATGAAATTTACATTTTCCGTTCAAGTACAATATAATCTAAAACTACTCCTTTCCTCAGTAATTTTTTGTTATATTTCTGTGTCGCCATCATAAATTTTTAGAGGTTGTGACTTGTGTCTTCTACGTCTAGTTCTAGTATCGGGATTTATTCTTAACGTTCTTCCATCAAGAACTGGCCTTGCCTTTGCATTTAATAAATATTCCGCTGCTGCCAGGCCACTTTCCATTCTAACTATTGCAGCTCTATAATAAGAAATTATAAGATTTATTTGTGGTACATGCGATAATATCGATATACCGAAGTAAATAATATAATTAATACCTAGAAGTCTGTGAGTACGGTTTCAACATTTTGACAGATAGGCAACCTGGAATAGTTGCTTTTAAATCTTGAAGTTTTGTTCCACATTTGATGTTTGAGATAAAAAGGCTATTGAAGGTTATAATATATTTTATTATTTGTATTTCACAGTTACGATAAAAAAATGAATTGTTCTTACTTCTTGGTGACTTTTACATCTGCTTTTACTTTGGGTATAACAATTTTTTTCCGTACTATCGTCCTTTTTTTTTCAATTTTTGTTACTGTAGGTGCAACTACCACACGTTTCCCATTTATCTTTGTATTTTTTACGGCGTTTAAATTTCGGTTTTTTTCCTTTTCATCGGAAAATATGACATAACAGTACCGGCTAGATTGTCGTAGACGATTTACTTTGAAATTACCAGTGAATAATTTTGCCACATCTTCGTCACTTCGTATCGTGTGTGGCAGACGAACGTATAGAGCTCTTTCTTTTTGTTCGCGTCGGCGTTTTATTCTTTTCGCGACTTTCATTGTTCTGGCTCCCATTCAATTTTTAATAGTAGAGATTTACACATCAATTTGCAAAAGAATGAATTATATTTACAACAACACTAGCCACACGTTATTCAATTGTTAGGTTATATTTATATTTAGGTTGTGCTTGCAAAGGTATGTAAACACAAGATACGTGTACTCTCGCACGTGCGTGAACTGTATTGTGCGCTTGTTAGAATGACGAAACAAGGTGTACTGATTCGCTAGTTCCAATAAGGAGAGGTCAAAGAGGACAAATTCTACAGGGACTGTTCGTAATATCGCGTTAAAGTAACTTAACCAATTATCATTCGGATCCTTTGGTTAGAAAAGTAATGATTGGTTTGTAGCATGTTCTGCTGGATGTACATGAGAAAGATGAAAGCGACATCTAGTCACTATTGTGAACTAGTAAAAACGTAAGAAGTCACAGATGGCCGTCTCAAATCAACAACCGGTGCAGTGAACGAGTAAAGTGACGCGGTTATGAACGCAAAACAATCGCGTCAGACGCGTAAAACGTCGTGAAACATGTAAGGAGTTGTTATCGTAAGTGCCATCGCGTTGAATTTTACGTTTCTTTTTGTTTTGCAATACCATCGGTCAACAGTGAAAGCAAAACTTGGCTTGATCTGCCGTTGCTTTTACGAATTGGTTTTATCGTCGGTGACGTACGGTTTTGGAGTACCGAGGCCAAACACGAATCGCTGTTCGAGGATGAGCGCGAACAATGTGCAAGCACTTTTCGCCTGTTCAAGATGCTTTTCAAGGCATCCATTCGAGGAACTTTCCCCGGGGCAACAATTGTGCAAGGTATTCCTTTGGTTTTTTTTTATATTTTCCCCCGAATTTCATTTCGTTACTACCGATTTTTATGGAGCGTCATTTTTCGTGTTTGCGAGATACGATGCTAATAATAGAACTTTTAATTCAAATGCACGTTCTGCGTCTAATTGATGCTATTTTGTAATGAACAAATCTGAAAATACGAGTTGAATAAAGATTCAGTTTTATGTGCAGACCCGTTTTTTACGCTCAAATTTAAGGACGATCGTGCATATGCTCCGAAGAGTAAGATAATTACTGTTTTAATCGATCGTTTTTGTTTGAAAATTGCCTCTGTTTGACGAGGCGTTACGATTTTAATTTTAATAAATATTTTTTTCTTACAGTATTGTGTGTTTTGTGCAAAAGCTTGAATAATGTGTGAACATTAAAACTGGCTAAATGTAAATACATACACTATAGATTTTTATACTTATGTTTTCTTTTAATAAATTTTTACTATATTATGTTGCTTATTTAGGAATGCAGAGGTGCATTTCCTGTGGTGAAATGTACATATTGTAGGTCAGAATTTCAACAAACGATGTAAGCACTACATATTGTTGTCTTATAGTACGATCAATGCCTTTAACACTTCCTCGAACAACTTTGTTTTTTTGTTTTCTTTACAGAAAGGGTAATACAAGCACTATATGTAAGAAATGTGAGCAAAATGTAAAATCTTATGGTAAACCATCGGCCTGTGAATATTGCAATACCATAGCTGCATTTATTGGTAGTAAATGTCAAAGATGTACAAATTCTGAAAAACGTTACGGGCCACCAGTCACTTGCGAACAATGCAAACAGAAGTGTGCCTTTGACAGACAAGACGAAGATAAGAAGGTAATTGATTTGGATACTGCAAGGATCTGTTTATAACTTGCAGCATGTAATCCTTAATATATTGACTAAAGGTTGATGGAAAATTATTATGTTGGCTGTGTACATTGTCATACAAACGAGCATTGGCTAAAACAAAACAATCCGATGCTGAAAGGAGGGCACATTTGAAACTAGCACAACAACGAGCAGCAAAGCACAAAGAACAAAAGTAATTATCCAAATACGTAATGTCACAAGGTAACTTTGTGCTTAGAAGTTTTAATTGTGTTCATCACAAGTTCAGTATCTTTTCAGTTGTAACATAACCTGGTAATGTTTGACGTACAGGTATTTCATCCGAGTTCCTAGTTAGTTTGTTTATTTTGCTCCAGATTAAAAAGTCACAATAAGAGACCACACAGAGTAGATGTAACGAAGTTACCGCCACAGTCCGAAGGTGGAGACACGAACGGTCCGACACCAGTGAAAGCAGCGCGAATGGTTGGCGTTCACGATCCCCATGATCCTAATAGCTCGGATCACGTTGTCGCAGTCACACAACTTAAAGAAAAGATAGCCCACCTTCAAAAACAAATTTCTATTAAGGATGGGCAGTTACTCGCTAAAGATAGACAAGTGAGCATATTGCGAAAGAAATGTCCGAAACGAATTCAAGCAGTACTAATTCAGTTGTTATTTTTGTTCACAGATTACGGAATTGAAGGCAAAAAACTTCACGTCGGAAACGGAGCTGCGTAACAAGATGAAAGCGACAGAGAAAGAGTACGAAACCAAAATATCCACGATGCAACACAAGATCTCCAGTTTGCTAAAAGAAGTTGCTTCCCTATCAAAGAGTTCTAAGCGGGGCGACAGAGTAGCTGCCACGAAAACAGAAGCTGGGACCAACAGTGGAAGTGGAACAGACAGTCCTGTACCTTGATAAGGTAGGACAATTCACATCCTCATTATTCTTTGTCAATTAATGTTCAAACGATCATATTCTATATTTACATTCTAATTCGTCAACGCAACATATTTATAATAGTAAAATGTTGTAATTTAGTATATTTAGCGTTTGAAACGATACTTTATTGTTTGTGATTTAACGTTAACGGCATCTTAATATTTTACTTCTGATAAGTGCCAAACGTTATCTGGATTCCATTTCGTGCGCTTTTAGTTGTGATCTATCATTTCCAAATATCGTGGATAAGAATGTATTACTTTTGCTACCTCGCTTCTGTATTTTCGTACGACGTTGTAGTTTTTTTTCTTTTTTCTTTCTTTTTCGAGTGATTTTACGACACAAGGCTCATACTTTTCTTTTTATTTTTCACCCCCCCACCCAAATATCTCAATGACATCTTTGTTTTGCGATCAAAATCACGCGGTTAGACGAAATTGCTTTAGTATCCTAATTATCATAGTTTGTTGTTATCAGTCTTCTTTATCGTTCATTTTTTCTTCCTTAGCGTTATCGTTGCTTAGAAACGTTTTGAGTATGAAACTTGTAGCATCACAGAAAAATTTGCGAATGTGCTCCTCGCGGTTATGCAAGGTAGCACGAATTAAGTTTATCTTCCAACGCGTGTCCTAGACAGTGTCTTTTATAGACAAAAGAGAAAAAAAAAAAAAAAAAGAAAAAGAAAAAAACGTGTAATTTTTGTACGAGATGAAAGACATCTTAAAATTGTTTTCAGGGACTTGGTTAGCCGTGACAACATACTCAAATGTCCATACCCGCATAAATCATGTGGTACATTACATATAGCTAATTGTTTCCATTAACAAGGCAAAATCTGTATTATTTTTCTAATTAATATAGGAATATATATTATCTCCGACGTGTACACGGAAAGTCTTACACGTTCTTCTAATGGGGGATGATGATGGTGATGCAAGTGCAAAAAAAAAAAAAAGAAAAAGAAAAAATGTTATTCGTAAGTTAGGTAGCTTTCCCCGTCCCCTCTTGTTCCGTTTCACGATCATCCCGCGGACGCGAATTACTGCGACCCGATGCCGTGATAAATTTGTTTATATGTGACGAAGAAGCCGCACTTATTCGAATTGTACAATAACGAATCGGAGGGGCATTCGGTCCGATAGAAGTGATTTTTAAACTTTACGATCAAAGTTGATACTTGCGAGAAATGAACAGAGTTATATGCAGACACATACACACATACACACACTATAATTGAGCAATAGTGCTGCTGTAACATTTTCCTATCTATAACGATGAAGATGTAACGACGATGAACCAGGATATGGTGATTGTAGATCAATTTACAATAAAAGGTTAAAAACGATATACCTCGCCTTCTAAGTTGAAACATATCCTTGGACTTCCTTCCCGTTAGAAGGATCCGTCTTTCTACTCCATCGTCGTTTCACGCGATAACTTAGATCGATGACAAACGATGAACGACTTTTAATTTTAAGGAGGGGTAACATGAATGATTGGAATTAGAGCTTACGTTTAAAGAGAGAGGTGTGAATGATAGGTAGTGATATGTGCATATAAATATCCAACAGCCATATATTTATTCTTTATTTTAAGAAACAAATGCTAATTGAGCATTACCTATTCAATAATTGTAATGATAATAAATGCGTAACAATTTACTATATACGAAGTGTAAGGATAATTAACATTTAATTTATAGTCGTTTAAATACGTACGAGTGTGTACACGTGTGTACAGTACAGTTGGAGTTATCGTTTAATTATTACGAGATGTTAAGAACTAAATATTGCTTGTCTGTTGTCGAGGCGGTTAGTCGCTTGATTCCTCCGTTTATCTACTTTCAGCGTATTTACACGATCTTCTTTAATTTTCCATTTTCTACACCGTCTTCTCGTTTTCTGTATTTGTTTCTTTTTTTCTTTTTTTTTTTTTTCCGTAACTTAAATCTTACACGCTAGGTTCATTTCTCTTCCACTTTCGCTCTTCCATTCTCTCTCATTCTTTCGTTCTCCCGTTCGTTCGTTCGTTCGTCTTCTTTCACTCTGTCTCTCTCTCTCTCTCTCTCTCTCTCTCTTTCTCTCATCTCTTTCATCTCGTTATCTCGTTATTTATAATAGTGCGTTTAATGCAGGCAAGGTAGGAAATCGAGGCAATATACGGAATGACAATCGACAAAACGTCACTGGAAACCATTTCCCGAACTTCGATATTGTACTTTGAGCATGTAAAAAAATATACGTGACATTGATTGATTCGACAATCAACACTTTTGCGATCGCTGGAGTAGAATCGTGTGTCGGATGCCCTTTCAGGATCCATTAGATCTCGTATAATCGTAGCCAGTATGATCACTGCGCATCCCTCTCTCTCTCTCTCTCTCTTTCTCTACCTGTCGTCCTAGCAATCCAGAATTTTCGATAAACCTTACTCAACGGACAGTGGGACGGTCGCAAAAGTATTAAAAATTAATGTTCGGAATGTATATATCTGCTACGTTTGATGAGTATAAAACGAATCTTGCGTATGCCGTGTCGAACGAATGTAGAGTGTCCTATTCACGCAGGTCATCGTTTCCAATGTCGTTTTCGCGGCATAGAATACATGCAGGCCTAAATTCACTACCGAAAAGTCAACATCGTAGACTCGATCAGTCCGTGTCTCTCCTACGATATTGACGCGATCACGGTAGTCCTCAGCGTCCTGCGCGTGTCTCGATTCACCGATAGATCGCTAGTATAGCGTACACATGGTATGAGAAAATTTTCATTCGGCCTAGGCATTCGGTAGAATGCCCGAGTCTTCCACGTTGCCTGGTTTAACCTGTTTGCAAAAATCAGCGTAAAGGCCTTGCGAATCGTACCGTTTCTCTTTCCAATTTTGTTTCCCCGCCCTTTCCCCTTACGTATCTTCTTCTCCTTCTTCTTCTTCTTCTAACACTCCCCACCCCCCCGCCCCCCTCTAATTTCTCTTCCTCTTTTTCGAATACGCGCGTAACAAACGGAGATTCGCCGAAATAAAGTTAACTTTAAAGCTGCCTTAAACGTATGACGCGTCGAAGTATCGTTTCCCGATAGAGATTCTATGTTCAAAAGGACCCTTGAACACGAAAGGGGACAGCGAAACGGAAGAAACGAACTAAATGATCAGTTCCAAAAATCTTACGACGAGCACCATGATATTTGCAGGAACCATAGAACTTGTCACGTTCCAAGCTAAAACGGATAGATGATGGGGGGATAGATTGCAATTAGCGGACGCGGAACCTTTGGATTTCTGTAGGTTAATCGCTCACGCGTGGTCGCGTGACGATTTCTCGTTCTTTTTCTCTTTTTCTCTCTTTTTTTCCTATTTTTTTTTTCTCCTTTGTTTTCTTCTTTTTCCCTTTTTTCTCGAAAAACTGAGGCATTAAGAAAGGAAGTTCGGAATACTAATTGTCCTCGAACGCGCGGTCTGTGCTTCTTGCCATTTCGTTCCATTGTTTTTCTTCCTGTTTAACCAGATCTTTCACCCTTTTGGAGGTCGTATCGCGATGCACGAAGCTTCTTTAGAATGTTTTTTGTTGACGATATCGATAACCGTGCGTATATCAGTCTGCGATACATCGTAATGTGCTATCGTTATCGATCAGACGATTCCAGCGTCGCCTCGTTACCGTCCGCGTGCCCCCTAAAACTCGGGGGGCGCGCGTGGCACCCGTGGGGACGCGCGAATCGTCAACCGATCGCGACTTTTATCGTTTTCGTATCTAATGGTAGGCTGCGCTTTCTCACTGATTTCGACTGTCGACGATTCGGCACTTAAAAATTAGTGGAAGTACGAGTCACGAAAATTTTCACCGAAACCGAATGGAAGATACGCGAAATAGAAAGAAATGGAAAAGGAGAACGCAACGGGTGCCGTTTTTTTTTTTTTTTTTTTTTTTTGGCCATTGTCACCGGGGGATCTGATTAGTACGTACGAATCTTTTCGGGATAAATTTCTTCTGGTCGATCGCGCGTGAACGATCGACTGGTGATCAGTATTATTATCATTAATACGATTATTATGATTATTATTATTATTATTTGCTTTCCTGTTCTCGATAAGAAGAAAAGAGAAAAAAAAAAAAAAAAAAAAAAAAAAAAAAATACGACTTATCGTACCTTTGCCAATTATTACGTTAGCGTTCTAAAAACGATCTTACAAATTTCATTTCGTAATCCGAGTAACTTTACGTACATCTAGAAAGATACAATTCTTTACGTGCTAAACGTTTACGTTAAATCGAAGCGCGAACCGAAAGTTTGGAGGAAAAGGCTCAGGCGGATCTCGTGATTATACGCGAAATGTTACCCACATAGGGCGCGACCGTGAGTTTGTTTCCCCTTTTTTCATCCTTTTTTCCCATTTTTTTTTTCTTTTTTTTTCCTTTTTTTTTAATTTTTTTTTATTCTTTTTTTTTTGACTAGATTCTCCACCCCCATCGCGTGATATTACGATCCCTGCGAATTTCGCTGCCCGGATGTTCCCGCGTTTTTGTAATGTGCGCTTTCGACTTGTTCCCAATGAGAAATCGCGCCCGAGTCTTTGCCCCGACGAGATTGGTTATTTTGTACACCGGACACCGCGTGGTAGACGGCCTTTACTCTCTCTCCCTCTCTCTCTCTCTCTCTCTCTCTCTTTCTCTCTCTCTCTCTCTCTCTCTCTCTCTCTCTCTCTCGATACTTGACGAATTAATGCCTTCTCTTTTGAATACTGCGTTTCCAGCGCGCCGCGTTTCACGCGGATTCTCGTCTCGTGCCCGCGACACGGCGCGAAATTAATCAGCTTGCTTAGTCGCGTTGCGTCGCGACGTGTAAACGAGGTTTGTGCGCGATCGCGATAAGACGGGGAAGATAAGACGTTTCTCCGTCGGACGATCAACCGTGGTGATATTAAAATCGACGATTCGCGTGGGCGTTTACGGTGGTCTCACGGGAAAGAAACCGTACACGTTTGGAAATCGATCGGTCGAAACGAGAAGAATAGCGAAGAAGTGTGGAATAGCGAAAAATGGGGAGGAAATCGAGAAGGGGTGGTAAGAGAACGGAAAAATGGGGAAGAAACGAAAAGAGATTCGTTCGCGTGGATCGAAGAGACTATGCTTTCCGTTTCGAAAATTCCACGACAAAAGGACGCCTAAAAAATATATATATATATATATTTTTATATATATGTATATGTTATTTATATGAACGTGTATAAATATAGATATAGATACTCGATCACCGAAAGCTTTATTTTTTTTTTTTTTCCATTTTCCGTGTTTCAACGTTTACTACGGTACGCGTGTAATAAATTACCTAATTTCTGAAAAGGTTTCGTCCTGTTAAAAGGATTTATCCGTAGAGCGCAGCCTACCGTGCTTTCTCGCCAACCGACGACGATTTTACATATACATATATAAAGGTATTCATAAATTAGAGCTCCTTATATTATTACCTTTTTAAATTATCGAATAATTAATAGTAATGTTAGTATATACAGGTACAGGTCTCGTATAGTTGCAGTCGTGTCGTCACTGGTTGTTCGATTATCGCGTCTCTCGCTTTTGTTTTCCTCGCGCGTCTGTTCTCGAATGTGCTGACGGATGCCGACAAAATCCGCCATCTTTCACTTTCTTCAACCGCCTAAGCTCGAACGCGTAGAAAATGGTACCGTGATACCGCGAGGAAGAAGGAAATACGTCCATTCGTTTGTGCCGGAAACGCGCGCGTGTGGCCGCGTTAACCGATAATAACGTGTCCGAATTGCGGCATCTCTTGGGCGACTGGTTGTGGGGCCCCGAGAAACATGTGGTTTCGCACGCGATTCGACGTCCTAAGCATTCGAAGGCGTACGTGTTTCGTAATAAAAAGTATAAACTACGTTGACGGTTGCGTTTTCACGGGATAGAAATTGCTTTGTCGGATATATAGAGTTTGTCGCTTAGCCGAACGTGTTGGAAGTGTTGTTTCGTGGAAGTGTTTTCTCCATTTTTCTCTTCTTCTTTCTCTCTTTTCTCTAGCGATTTGTATACGGATAGAAAAAGTAAGGGAGCACGGTGTACCGCGTTAGAACGGTACCTTTTCTAAGCATCGCTTTTAGGATAGACCGTGGAAGGATAATCGAGAAGCTCGAACGACTTTGGTACTCGCTTTCTCTCGATTCTATCCGGAAATGGCAGCGTGTGACGACTCGAGACATATTAATCCTATCGTTCATTTTCGTCCCTCTTGTTCATTTGTTTCACGTTTTAGATTCGTTTTCGTTGGTGGCGCTACCATAGAAAAAATATAGAAACGAGTATTTACAAGGAAGGAACTTTGTATGCTCGTAGCTGGAATCACGTCGATTCGTCCACTCTCGTCAGAGAAATCCAACTAGTTCGCGTTACGATTAACGTGTTTACGTACGTAAAGTAACCAGCTTTCAAGAAGTGTATCTACTAAAAGCTTCGAATTCCTTCGCGTTAACAATAACCAAGCAACAATATTTAACAATCTCGAATTACTTGTTGCACGTAATCTCACTCGCGTTTCATTTCGTTTTCTTCCTCGTTTTCCGATCGCGTACCACGACCATCCCGTCTCTCGTTCTCTCCTCTCTGTCTCTTTTATACATTCTCCTTACACGCTGCTTACGACGAATGAAATGAAGAAAAGTACGATTCGAAAATTCCTCCGTTTCCGCGACCCAGCGAAGGGAAGCACGAACGATTTTTACGGTTCTCACTACCATCTCACGAGGGTAACATCGTTTTCGTTTGTCGTGAGCAACTCGTTTACTATTCCACGGCTGGATTTTGCGTTTGAGCGAAAGGGCTCATACCCCCATTTTTAGGTGCACTCGATTATGTGAGGCTGGGAGGTCTCTATCACGCTTGGCCGTCCCACGGAATTCTCCAGGTTGTGCAGAGAAGTAGAGTGTGGACCATGAGTGGATCCGTGCCTCTCGTAATTATCGATGTGCTCCAATTCGCATTCCTTCGGCATGTTCCCTGCAATCGAAACAACGTTCGCCTTTAGAACTTCTTCCAAGCTGGTTACCGATCGACACCACGAGACACGCGGTTGCACGCGGTCGCGATCGCCGTTCTTTATAGACCCACGCTCGTTCGAGGTCCCGTGAAAAGCTTCCGCTGCAACGCGATCACGATCCAACTTACCGACGTTCATGTCCGGCCCGTATTCGTAGTACGTCGGCGAACCCACGGCCGCGGCAAGGGCAAGCTCGTCCTCGATATTATTCGGCCTGCAACTGGTCGTCTTCCAATGGGTCCTAAGGCCACTCGCGCTAATGTACTTCTTGTCGCAACCTTGACAGGTGTAGGGCCTTTCGTTCGTGTGTAACCTCTTGTGTAACTTTAGGTGAACGAACTGGGTAAACTTTGCGGGACACAGGTCACAGGCGTAGGGCTTTTGGCCGGAATGCAGTCTCAGGTGGGTCTTCAGGTTCGAGGTCGAGCTGAACCTCTTCTTGCAGATTTCGCATTGGTGTGGTTTTTCGCCTGTACATTTGTTCCCGTCCATCTTAATTCTCTCTCTTTCTCTCTCTCTCTCTCTCTCTCTCTCTCTCTCCCTTCCTTTCTCGCTCTCACTCACTCTCTGAATCTCTACGAAACTATAGGAAGAAATATGGTGAACTTACCCGTGTGCACGAGATGATGCTTTTGCAGGTGGGCCAGCTGAGTGAAACTCTTGGTGCAAACGTTACACTTGAACGGCCTCTCGCCGGAATGAGTCCTCAGGTGTACCTTGAGGTTCGACAGCTGGCCGAATGTCTTGCAGCAGACGTTGCACTCGTAATGCATTTTCCCGTCCTTCTTCTTCAACGGGTACGGTAACGACCTGTAGCCCCTGGATCCTTGCGAGTTTGGACTGAGCGAGCCGCTCTGCGAACAACCGTGATCGTCCGGGGATAAAGAGCTCGCGGGCGAGTATCGGTTCAGCGACGAAGAGTTGGCGTGAATGGTGAGGCCGGGGTGATGGCCCAGGTGAAGATTGTGCGTGCCAGCGATCAGCGTCTGATTACTGTCGATTTGCATGGTCGACGAGGTCGGTAATTGATGACTGCTCGTGGCAGCTTCCAGCCTTCTTCCATCGGCTCGCTCGTAGACCACGTTTCCGCTAGGAGTCGGCGAATAGGCGGTGCAATTGATCGACAACGGTGCCACGTTGTGATGCAACGAGCCGTTCTGATGATAAATCCCATAGGGGTAGGAGGATGGCGATTGAATGGGCGAAATGGGCGAGACGCTCTGATTACTGTTCGCCGCGGAGCTGTGATACACAGGGCCAGATTCTATCTGACATCCACCGGAAGTGGAGTAGAGGATCGTAGGGGTGGACGCGCCCGTAGGATTCGCAGACGGTGACGGACTCTTGGTCTTTCTCTTGGGTGGACAGCTACCGGACGTCGTGGAGGAATGTAGGTTACTGGTCGACGTCAGTATCGTGCTGGACGACAGAACGTTCGCGTTCGAGTGATGATTGTTCGAATTGCTGGACGAATGGATGTTCCCGGGGTGAGGCTGTAGAACGTTGCTTGGACCGGTACTGGAGTGTAGATTGCCCGTACTCGAATGAAGGTTCCCCGTGCTCGAGTGCAAATTGCTCGTGGGACTTTGCATCGGTAGGGTACTGTTGCCGCTGGTGGAATTGACGCACGTGTCGGCTTGCATCGGTAGATTGGAACTGGAATCGGGGCTGCAGGGTAAAATGTTCCCGTAGCGATGAGACTTCTTGTAAGAGTACGCCATCTCCGTTGGGCTGGAGGGTGGCGGCGTGACCGAGTCCACGTGTGTCTGATGATGAATCTGATGGTGTTGATGGTGCGGTTGGGGTCCATTGTGATGATGATTGTGGCTGTTGTTGTTGTTATCGGTACTGCTACGAAGAAGGATGTTCTCGAGGATGGAACTGCTCGGGCTGGTGAGATAGGCTGATCTGCCGGAAACGGGTAAAGCACCCTTGACCTCGGACTCGTAGAAGGGCTTTGGATTCTTTTCCGGAATTTCATCTTCGGTGACCGCCGTCAGGACCGTGCTCTTCTGCAGAATTATGGGTGACACCGGTTTCTGTAGTTCCGGGGTCACCGCTCTGCTCGGCAGTTCTTGATCTTTGTCCTTCCCGTTAGCATCTAGGTTCTTCGACGTCTGAAAATTCCCGTAGGTCTTGGTGATCTTGATCTTAACCTTTCTGTACTCGTTCTTCGCCACTGCATTGTCCTGTTTCAGCACCTCGTTGTTGCACACCGACGTTTTCGCGTTCTTGCTGAAATCCAGCACGTAGTTGTTCTCCGAGTCCGACTCGCTGCTCTCTTCCGGGGGCGTGAGGATCTCGTCGTGATAGCCGTTCGAATGATAGCCTTCGTCCGATCTAACGGAACCGTCCGTCGGGGTCATTTGCGAACGTCTCTCGTAAATCGATGAATCCTTTAGAGGTGACACCACGTCCACGGTGGGCGGGATTTCCGTTGGTAACGTAGATTGTTGTACTTGTTGTCCTGCAACATGGCGCGAGTATTCGCGGTGAAACAACTCGTACGTACTACGCGCAGGTCGTAGGCACCGCGACGCGATGCGTCGAATCGAGCATGTACTTACGTATTCTTTGAAGCATTAGTTCACCCGTCAATGGATAATTGAGCCTTTCTGCGAACTCTCTGCAGTACCACACCAGAAGCTCTTGGTTCGGTAGTATCGGCTTAATTGTGTAAAAATAAATGTTCATCTGCAAAAGAAGCACGATCGAGATGAGCATCGATCCAGTTCGAGTGCCGGCAACAGATACCACACGTAAACCCGCGGCGTTCCATCAATTCGACTCACCTTATACTGACACGCTATTAGGTTCTGCGATTCGGACGAATAAGCCGGGTTTACGTAACGCATCCAATTTGATTTCTGGACGTCATAACCGTCGATGTAGTAGAACAGCTCGTTGTTCTTGTACACCTATCAGAGAAAACGTACGAGTTAGTCGCAACAATGAACCCCAGGCTGTGTACGCAATCGCGAGCACAGCGACGTAGCCGTAGCGTAGGAAATGCGAGATATCGCAGGGACCCTGGCCGGAGCCTAAGCAGGGACTAAATCTCCGATATTCGAGGCGGTTGAGGCATCGAGCAACGAGGAAATATCGGCGATTTAGTAGCGAGAATCGAGAGAGAACCAAGTTCTCTATCGTAACTCATCAATTCGTTACGAGGCATCAATGGCTTCGCGGGTTTCGCTTTAAGGCTCGCTAGATCGGCTGAAACCAGTTTCTGGTCTTTGCAGGCTTCTCTCTCTATCTTTTTCTTTCCCTTTTCGTCTTCTTCTTTTTTTTTTTTCTCATCACACGAGAGAGACTAGCCGATGATGATAGCCAACGCTCGCGAAATAACTGCTACGAGGATTTTGAATAGGCACTTAAATGATTCTTACCCTCCAGAAGTATTTCCGGTTCGCGTCGGCCGGCACCGAGTCCTTGGTGTACACTTGGCCCACGAGAGGACCGAACCGTGTCCCCTTGGGAATGTAACTTGTGCTCCAAACTCCCAAAACCTGCGCACACACGTTCCACATATATCATCGTCGCTCGTTAATTCCCGCTTACGTAACGTTTTCAACCTTCTTTCTATCTTTCTTTCTTTCTTTCTCTCTATTTTCTATTACCCATTTGCTCCCCGTGCGACGAAGAAAGATCCGTCCGAAATCTGCGACGTCGAGCGTCGACGAAGCTAGTACTTTCGAAATTCCAAGGAACGTGAAACATCGATTCGAACGTACGTCACGTTAAACTGTTTTATCCGCGTGGTATTTACGAATATTTCGGTAGGTAGGTCTATTTTCGCATGGCGAAAAGTTGTCCACGCTTAGATCAGGTATATCTGGCTATTCCCGTTTCCTACGATCGCTTTAAGCATCGATTTCGTCGCTGTTACTATTTTTCTATTTTCTCCTGCT